TGAGGGGGTGCTGGGCTCTTCTCTACAGTGACAAGTGACGGGACGAGGAAAAAGCCTCAAGTTGTGCCAGGGGAGGTTTAGGCTGGATATTAGGAAAAATTTCTTCCCTGCAAGTGATCAGGCACATTGGAACAGGCTGCCCAGGGCAGTGGGGGTGCCCAGGGCAGTGGTGGAGTCACCATCCCTGGAGGGGGTCAAGAATGTGGTGCTTGGGGACATGGGTTAGTGAGTTAGGTGGTGTTGGGTTGGACTTGATGATCCTTGAGGTCTTTTCCAACCCTAATGATTCGATGATTCTTAACAGGAGGTAGCGCCTATCCTAAAAGCTGTGAAATTGCACCAAACGGGCAGCATCTTTATCTACTGCGGTGTCAGAACAGCCCCGGGCAGGCGGGTACCTTGCACTGCTCGGCTTCGGTGCGCAGCACCTCGGTGGAGGCTGAGCCCTCCCGCAGGAAGAGCCCCAGGGTATCTTTCTCCAGACACATGTCCCTGATGGCGCGGGCAGTCTTCCCGGTCTCCTTCCTGGAGTGAACGAACACCAGCACCTGTGAACAAGGACACAGGACCATGGCTGAGAGAGGAATCGCAACGGCTGCAGCTGGGAAAGGTGCTTGACGCTGTTTTTCGGGGCAGGAAGAGATCTAGAATGAGCCCAGGTGTCCGGTGAACCACGCACAGAGCTCCTGATTTAATAGGGGAGCAGCACAACAACTCCCTCATCCTAAAAGGATGGGTCAGAAGAGCTGTGTTCCTTCCTCTCTCAGCATTGACCACCGAAACCGACCCCTCTTCTCCACTGCAGTGTTTCCACAGCGACAGCAACTCGAAAGGGTCTCCCCAGCAACAAACGAGCACCAGCATCAAGTGCATTGGGAACAATAAAATAAAATATCCAACCTGGTTCTTTCCAGCATGCTCCATAATCTTCTCATAAACGATCTCGTTCATTATCTGGAAGCGTTTGATTGCTTTCTTCTCTGTGATACCCACGTAGGTCTGCTCTAGGGGCACCGGTCGGAAGCTGTAAGAAAAAACTCAAGTTCGTGAAGGAGCGGAAAAATGGAGAAACCCTGCTACAAAGATCCTGTCGAAAGGCACCCTGTGTTTTGTGTCAATACATTTCCTTCGTGCCTCAGTTTACCCAGAGATTTGATGGCTCCAGTTCTGCTCAGTTTGATTAAACAGCAGGGGACAGGAACATGTATTCCTATTTCCCGTAATCCATTTGCTACACACACACTCAGGGAGCAAAAGTGTTTCCAGAACTGCCATAATCCTATTTTAGGCTTTTTTTCAAACAGCTTATGCAGCACACCGGTACAGCAGAGTTGATCTGCTTTCTCTAAAGCATCTTCTTGCAAATATGGCACCACAGGGCCCCTGGCACACGTTTTGAGGCTGTATTTAACTGCTCGAGCCCCCAGCGTGCCTCTACTGGCACATCTAAGAGACCCTGGCACCATCTGACAGACAAACACCCAACTCCCCACACCGGAGGCAGGTTCCTTCCCAGCTCTCAACTGCTACCCGCCATCGTAAAGACCTCTCCTGGCTTGCCCTGGTACCTGTTATCGAAATAGAACAAGCCTTTGGCCGGGTCCACTCTCAGGAAGGTAGCCACGTCCTCGTAGTTGGGGAGGGTGGCACTCAAACCAACCAGCCTCACGTCCTCCTGCGTCATCTCGATGTTGCGGATGGCTCTGGCCACCAGAGACTCCAGGACGGGTCCTCGGTCGTCATGCAGTAGGTGGATCTCATCCTAAAGAGAGGAAACAGGAACAGAGTCATCCCTGCAGCTCTGTTTACTCATTTTTGATTTAATTTCTTGGCAGACCCGCTCACGTGGACTAAGCATGCTCAACCCACAGCTCACAGCCCGAGCCTCTCCACGACCAAACACCAGAAACGTCTTTAACCGCTGACGCACGTTCAGAAACCGCAACGCCGAAGGACACAGCGCCCGCCATCGCCCTCCCTTCTCCGCGTCAGGGCTTCGCAGGCAGCGGCGCCGCTCACCAGTATGACCAGCCGCACCAGCTGGGTGTAGGTGCGCTCTCCTCCCTTGCGGGTGATGATGTCCCACTTCTCCGGGGTGCATACGATGATCTGGGTAGCGCTGATTTCCTCCTTGCACAGCTGGTGATCCCCCGTCAGCTCCGCCACATTGATGCCGTACGTCGCCAGGCGCTAGGAGGAATCGCAGAATGGTTTGGGTTGGAAGGGACCTTAAAGCCCACCCAGTGCCACCCCTGCCATGGGCAGGGACCCCTCCCACTAGCCCAGGTTGCCCAAAGCCCCATCCAGCCTGGCCTTGAACCCCTCCAGGGATGGGGCATCCAGCCATTTGGCACTCAGATTTTTAATTTAAAACTGAAATTAAGATCTCATGACAGCATTCTCACAAAATTTATCCAAGTGAAACCCATCACTGGCTTTACTCACACAAGCACTGGATAGAATTCAAGTCTAAATCGAAGCAGGACTCACACAAGGATTACTTAGGGAACGGGAAAAAAAAACACCTCCCAAATATTATTTTTTTCTATATCTTACACAATTTATAGAACTGCCCTGGAAACAGAAGCAGAGAAACCGCACCAAGGGCAGAAGCATCAGCTCAACCTGCACCGCACATGACCGCAAACCCCAAATCATCCTGCCCAGGAGCTGGCTGAGCTCTGCCAGGAACCCCAGGGAGTAAGGAATGGTTTGGGTTGGAAGGGACCCTAAAGACCATGGAAGCCACTGCAATAAAGCTCATCTTCCCCAGCCGACAGCTCGAGCAGGGGCAGGACCACACCTCTCCTCACCTTCCCGAAGCTGCCCACCATCTCCTGCACCAAGGACCTCATGGGTGCGATATAGATGATCTTGAAATCGTCCACGTTGATGGTCCCGTCGATATTAATGTGTTTCCCTATTTCTCGTAACATGCACATGAGGGCTACATTGGTCTTCCCAGCGCCCTAGAACGCAAAGCAGAACCAGTCCCATCAAATTCCTGGGTGCAAAGGATCATCCTGCTGGACTCCCCATCCCAGAGAAGCCCAAGCTCAGGATCCTTACCGTGGGAGCGCACAGCAGCAAGTTTTCATCTGACTCCAGTGCGGCACGGTAGAGCTTGCTCTGAATTCGGTTCAGTGTTTTAAAACCCTCAAATCCAGCCTGGGCGTATTTGGGTAATTTTTCCACTGAAACCAATTGCTGAGAAGGGAAAACATGGAGCTCAGTGCCATTGCTTCAGCTCCTCACAGGCTGCGGGGCATATGTGAGACCTCAGAGACACCCTGGGGAGCGACAGGGTCATGTTGTCTCCAGATGGGCAGAAGAGAAGCCCCGTGTCCGGGGATCACAGAGCAGGTCAGGAAAAGATCAAACGAGTTTCGTTAGCCAGCCCGTGCGCTCTGACGAGTCCAAGTCACAGTCAGCTACACCATCAGAAAAGCAAATCCCCACCATGTCCCCATGATGGGACAGATCTGACCACATTTCCACTGCCAGCGCTGATCAAAAGAGGCAACTTATCACACGGCAGGTGATGAATTGGCCAGATCTCTGCCCCGACGCTGCACACACAGTGAAGAGGGAGCAAGAGCAGAGCCGAGAGCTCGGCAAAGCCGCTAAACGGGGCCAGGGAGCCTGGGACAGCAACCAGCGCTCCAGAAGGGAGAAACTAGAAATCAGGAACCCTCTACGGGCACGTGAGATCT